TCTTTCTCTGTCTCTCTCTCTCACCCTCATTTATCTCTCTATATCTGATGAAAAAAAAAAAAAAAGAGAACTGTCTCTCTCTCTCTCTCTCTCTCTCTCTCCCTCTCTGTCTATCTCTCTATCTCTCTCTCTCTCTTTCTCATACAAACACACACACACACACACACACACACACACACACACACACACACACACACACACACATAATACTTATTATACTTTGACCCCCCACATCCCTCACCTGTCTGTGTACGTGGTTATATTTGTTCTCACAACCCGTCCTTTTCTGAAAGCTGGCACGCGATGTAGCCGGTATCTGATTGGCTGACACATGGCACACCTTCTGTTGCCAGGCAACGAGTCCACTTGAATGGCGTCTACAGCTGTTTCAGAGTGGCTGACTCGTAGAATAACCTGAGAAGTAAATACAACTGGTGATAACAAAGAATTTTGTTAAGACAAGCTTGAGCCCCTAAGTGTCTCTTGTAATAGTAAAACAACTTGGGGGATTACAAATAAGCAAACTGGATAAAAAATATTATTTAAAATTTTTGGTTCGGTCATCAAGGACGTTGTATCCTAAGGAAAAATGTTTAATTTAATAATCTTCTTCTAAAGTTCACCCTGCTGAAAAAATTTACTTTGCAATCGGCCAAAATGGAATACATGTATTGGAAAGACTGTGTAATTCATAAGTGTAACTGGTGGACAGATATAATTGTTAACTGTTTAAGTAAGTAGCGGACACTTGTGCCCAAATGACAATTAAAGGCCACGATGAAGCACATTTCGAACTAAACTACGCAAATCAGAAAGACGAATTTTCATGTCAATTCACAGTATGTGTATTGTAGATCTAGTTTGCTTTTTAAGATTAAAAACAAAAGAAAATCGAATTGAAAAATTTGAGTGAATAACTAAGATAATAATATTAGGCTTCCTAAGTGCCCCAAGACAGCGAGTCTCAAAGTCAAAGCTTTGTAGAGTGAGCTTCCTGGGTGAGGTAAGAAGGAAGAAGCCAGCAAAGATACTTTTTCTGAGGTCGAGGGAGCTCTACCTGTGAATGCCGCCGACATGCTCAAAGGGGGATATTATGTAATCACCCCAGCAAAGAAAGGATGAGAGAGAGAGAGAGAGAGAGAGAGAGAGAGAGAGAGAGAGAGAGAGAGAGAGAAAGAGACAGACAGAGGTAATACGATAAAGTACACATAGAGAGAGAGAGAGAGAGAGAGAGAGAGAGAGAGAGAGAGAGAGAGCTTTTGAAAGAAAAAGAAAACTGTCAGCTAGTGATCCTCCTTAATCATTTTCCTCGCCGTATCAGCAATAGACACCCCCACCCCCCAAAAAAAAGGTTACATTCAGTAAGTGGCGTAGGGTGTTGTAATAAAATTTCAAACCTGACACTTTGTTACAAGAAAATTATTTTTACTTGATCACATGAACATGAAAAGTGTCTGAGATAGATAAACTTTATCTAAGGGGGATGAAAGTATAAACAGAATTTTAGACTTTTCTACAGTTATTTCCCTTTACCTTTGTCAGATCAAATTTACATTTCAGCCGGTCCCACAGTGGCTTTGTAAGTCTGACCTGCAGCTCGCCTGGCTCGCACTGTGCAAATGAATGTGTACATTAGGCCAGTCCCAGAGTGGCTCTGTGGGTCTGACCTGTAGCTGGCCTGGCGCACGCCGTGTGCGTGTCAGCACAGCCGCATTGTGGGTTGGCGCCTGTGTCTCAGCGAGCGCGAGGCACACTCGCTGAGTTTCAGCACAGCCGCACTGTGTGTTGACGTGTGTAGGTGTGCAACTGACGGTCTGCCTTGCTATATTTAGGTACTGTGTAATCCAAGACCAATTATACCAAGACGAGACAACTCTTCTTTACGTCATGTGCCAAGTGCAGATCTCCCCCCCCCCCCCCCCCACCCCACACACACACAAACACACTTGCAGCTGCGCGCGACGATAGTTTACATTGGTAATGCAAGGCTAGATCTAGATCTAGAATCTAGAGAAAGCACACGTAGATCTAGGCCTAGGCCTAGGCCTACGACAACAGTCGAAACTAGGTCAACCTCTCGATTCGAAGTTTCAAAGTATGATAAAGTGCATTTCTGGGTGATTTTGTGGCCAAGTGTTGATGCTAGCATCAATATTTAATAGTAAAGGACCTAATAATACTTACTTCTTGTTGATTTTGATGATCTGTGAAGAGTTTCAGTCGAAAATA